AGCTTTCAACCCACCTAACTTCCAGCCCATACTTCCTCACCTTCTGAATATAATGCTCTAGGAGAAAGTGTCAAAAGCCATACAAAAAGTCAAGGTGTGTTTCATCCAGTACTTTTCATTCATCTACTTACTTGGTCATCTCAGTATAGAAGGCTGATTAAACCCTTGTCAATTTATGTTTACTTTTCCTGATTACCTTTTTGTCCTTCAAGTATTTGGAAGTGGATTCCAAGTGGATGTTCTCCATGCTATCTCTTGGGACCAAGGTGAGATCTACTGGCCTTTAATTCCTTTCAGCCTCCGTTTAGTCTTTCATGATGATGGGCCGTTTTTTCTAGCCATGAAACTCTCCTGATCATTGTGCTTGATGGTAGATTTCCTAGATGGCCTTGTGGTCATGTTGGCCTGCATTTTGAACACCCTCAGGGGAATCCCATCTGGTCATATAGACCTGAATACATACAACTTCTCTATGTAGCTCCTAATTGTTGCTCAGTTCTCATCCTTGGCTGCTCCTCCGCTTTTCAAAATGTGCCAGAGTGGGAGCAGGCCTTGCCTTTGAACACCAATGCATTGAGTACTTCAATATTTTCCATATTGATGGTCATTAGGTTGTTTCGTCCATCAGCATCCATCTCGCAATTTTACAGAACTTCCTTTTGCAACTAGCCTATCAGAAATCACTAAGCTTTTGTAGAGGCTGGGTTAAAACAATCGCAACCACTATGTCCTTTGCTTCTGACTAAACCTTGGGAGATGGGAATAAGTTTTTCCTGCCTATTTTCAGGGGAGAGAGCACTTTCCGTAAGTCTTGAATGGCACGAGGACTTACCATATGCCCTGTGAGATAAAGTAGAAGATCAATACCAACAAATATTCATGATCAATCAAGTGACTAACAAAGAGCAGAAAAATGAGGTTTCTTTCTGTGTTCTGAATCCTTGAGAAACATGAGGTTTATCAGCCGTAACTTTGTGTGCTCCATGTGGTGGTGCCTGAATGCTGGGAATTACGTGAAACGCCAGTGTGCTTCCCTGCCGGCCTGCCCTGCTGAAGGAGGAATTTGCATGTGGTAACGTCTCTGGATCTCAGCGCTAGTCACGGCTCAGGCAGCCTCATGTCATACATGGACCGCTAACCAGGCGAGGCTACGTTCTTCCCCTCGCCGGAGGCGACCGGGCTCGCTCACCCGAAGGCCTTGGCAGGCAGCGGGAGCGACGAGCCCCACAAACCGGGCACAGGGCCGCGGGAAGCCTCCCCCAGCTCCGCGGAGCCGGGAAACCCCGTCTGCGGGGCCTCTCTGCACGGAGGCAGAGCTGGGGGTGGCAGACGAGACGAGACGCCACCCGCCGCGGGGGACCCGCTGAGGGGCCGGGCCGGGCGCACCTCCA